CATGAGCACATCTCCTTTCCCTACAAACTGTCTCTCCCGTCCAGATTAAAGAAAAATTCAATCTAAGTAACTTGTTCTGAGTTTTAGAAATTCTTGCATTGGAACATCTTAGTGTGATATCCCGGGTATACATGACATTTTGATGGACAAAAATGATTGTATGTCGAATGCTGTGTTTCCTGGCTTATGAAGTGGTTATATTCAGTTACAACCATTTAAGCCTCAAGGCTAACTTCAGATAGGAGGGTACTTAAAAGAAAAAATCTTGGAAAAATAGAATTGAAAGATAATATGAATTTAAGTGGCTTTGTTGTTGACTGCAAAACAAAAGTTTCAGTTTAATGTGATACTGTTTATTTCCATTTTAATCTCTAGCCCTAGCTTCTCCATTTCTCCACTGATGGTTTTAAGGCTTGGCCCTGAGAAGACCCTGAAGCACAACTGCTTTTTCCAGAGTGTAACTGATGATTAGCAAGAGCATTTCCACATCCTACCCCCTCTGCTGGGATGTATCTACATTTTGGACAAATTAGTATTTTTGCATCTAAGTTGTAGGGCAGCTATTATCTTTATTTTAAAGGGAACATGATAATTTACTCTACCTAAGAATCAGGCTTTATGTAGCTGATCCACTCTCTCTTAAGGTGTGGTGTTCATCAAGATGTGGATTCTAGGAGTTCAAAGCAACGATAGAGGTCATTTGGTTCAGCCTCCTCCTCATTGCAGAAATATTTTTTCCTTTATCTCTAACAAAAGGTATGTGTTTCAGCTTTTCCAGTGGTGGAGATTTAGCTATGATATCCTTCAAGAAATGCATTTAATTGTTCTTCTTTCTGTTGAGCCAAAAGAAATGGAAAACCAAGTTCACTATTCACTCACTTAACACTATTTTTATTGAGTGCCAGGTACTGTTCTAGGTTTCGGGGATACAGCAGTGTACAAGAGAGAAATTTCCTTCCTACCTCAAGCTTTTATTTTCTGAGAGATATAATGTCTGTGTGTATTAAAGTGACAAATTTCAGTGGAGTGTGTAAAACATTTAGGGAGAAGGGGGATTATGTGCTTATTGCTGAGTCAACAATTATGATTCAGATAAAGGATCTCATCTCTCAGGGGATCACTGTAGACAGTTATCTAAAGCTTTGTCTATCTTCATCTTTGGGGGTTGGGGTAGGGGGAAGGAGGTACTGACAATGAAATGTTATTTTTCCTTGTTGTAAAGTTGCCATTTCTGTGTCTTGAGGATGTGGTCCCAGATGGAGAACTCTGACTGTTGTACCTGGAAAAAGATTAATGGAGCTGAAAAAGGTCCAGGGGAACGTCATCTAAATCATAAAGGGGTTGTGATCTAGGGGGTTCTAATTTTAAAAATTAGAACTCTTTAGTCAGTGGTATAAATACACACATTGAGGCTCTATAAGCAATTACTAAGGAATGTAAGAAGTAATTGAGGTGTAGTAGTCCTGCCTTTTTAAATCTTTTGAAAGCTGTAGATGAATTTTATCTTCTAAATTATCTTTTTAAAAAATGATACGTGTACACTACAGTGAAAATTAGACTCAAGAAATTGATTCAAAGAACAAAACTACCCATATCGCACCATCTCGATATAATAGCTCTTAGATTGTTTGTGTATTTTCATCAACTTTTTGAGGTTTATATCAGCAAACATAACCCATCTTGAATAAACTGCTACTTAAAAACCAAGTTGTGTGTTGGATGGGCCTTGTCCGAGCATTTGAACACTCTTATAGGGGAAGAAACAATACTTCATGTTTGGTTATGGGCCACTCTATGTCTGTGTCTAGACAAAGGAACAAATGGTTGTGGGACTGTGCTATTTGCATGATTTGGATGGCCTACTTTGATTGATTGCCAGAAGACCAAGTGTTTTTACTCACTGATGATGCTACACTAATCATTATTACCGGGTTTATACTCTGGTGCAGGGTACAGAGTTTTCTGTGCCTGTTTCTCTTTATATACCTCAAACTTGGTTGGGGATCGAGGCTGCTAGGATTTTATTGTTTTATCGAGATCTGTCTTTCATAGCCTTAGCTAGACTTGTCTAAACTGGGATCATCAAAGCCGAACCATTATTTAAACAAAGACCCAGCAGATCTAAACCCTTTTTCCCAAGGAGACCTGCTTTACAATATAATTGATACCCGCTTTGTTTTACTTTTTTAAAAATCCAGATTGACAGAAAACTGCTGTCCAACTAAACAATACCCTCCCTGACCCACTCAGGCCCTGCTGGCAGCCCATCAATGCAGCTGCTGTTGAACATAAAAACAATACTTGGGCTAAGGTGATACATACAGGCTTCTAAAAAGAATTTTTTTTTTTTTTGTCCTTTTTGAGACCAGCCGCACCGCGCTCAGCCAGTGAGCGCACCGGCCATCCCTATATAGGATCCGAACCTGCAGCACGAGCGCTGCTGTGCTCCAGCGCCGCACTCTCCCGAGTGCACCACAGGCTCGGCCCTAAAAAGAATTTTTTGAGTGATCTGAAATAAAATTTGTATCATCTCAGACCTGGCCTGAGGAGTCTGTTCCCTGATATGACTAAAGCCATGGCACTAAAGCCACCATTTTTTAGGATTGGTGGCAGTGAGTGTGAGCACATTGCTCAAGTCAAATGATGCAGGAAGTCCAGTTGTGTGGATATATTCTGTCTACGTGCTGGACTGTGACCCTGTGGGATGGAGTGGAATGTGTTTAGAGAGGGGACAGGCTCAGGTAGAGAGTTTGGAAAGACATGCTCTAAAAAGAACATCTTTGGTACCTAACAAGTGGAAGCTTTATTCCTGCCTTTTTTTTTTTCTCATTTATTATGCAAAAAGGAAATTAAAGTATACATAACAAAATTTACCTGCTTGCTTTTGATAGTTAATAGTCCTTTTGGGAAGAATTTATGATTTTCTTGCTTTCTAGTTTATTTCTTATAGAAGTAGAGTCACAATAAGATAAGATAGCTTATAAATTGAAAAACAAAATCACCCTCAACACCCTAGCACATCAATAATCCTTCTTGGCTTTCTAATCCATATGTTTTTATCAGACATTTCTATGTGCAGATGCTGAAGTTATGGTGGTGAGTACTTGAGGTGCAGTCCCTGTGGCTCTTAAGAAGACTCTCTGTAGGATGAGTAAGCAATAGAATTTAGCAAGGAAAGTGAGGCAGGGAGGTGGCTGTGTAAAAGTGTTTCTAGCCAAGAGAGCAGCGAGTGTGAAGCTCTGAAAGTGAGGAAGAACCTCATAAAGCAATCCAGTGTAGCCAGGATATCAGTATGCAGGGTCAGGCATAGAGACTGGACAGACATGAGTCTGGGGAGGTGGGAAGAGACTAGATCATGCTGTGCATTCTTTATAGACTTGTATTTACTATATAGCTCTTTAAATACTTTACGTCATATCCACCCTTTGCCTTCAACTTAAGATATCCCAGATTTTTGAAATTGGTTGATGGAAGACACTGAAAATCTGCAGAGTACTAATTCTTCAAGATTTGGTAGAGTAGAAGGGAGATGAGAAAGGATCTGGGAATCGATATCTTTCATGCTTGAATTGAGCCCTTAAAGAATAGAGGAAATGAGGACTGAGGAGGGACGTAGAGAAGGAGGAGGGATCTAGTTGCAACATACAACAACAACAACAGGTCTTTCTCTGTCTAGTCTGACGCATTGAGCCTTTCCAAAAGATAAAGAACTAGAAATTCCTATTTTTTTTAGACACTGAAGCAACTGAGTCCTGAAGGGTGGGGGTTGGGGGAGGATGGTGGGACTCTTCCCACCTTGGATTTCAAGTGGCAGTCAGTGTTGTTTAAAAAGGAAATTTATAACTCATTGGATCCTATGAGAATAGTAGAAAATTCTGTTAAAAGCCAGGGTTCCTTTAAGACTTAATGTCTTTTTCATTCATCTCATCTCTTTGTGTACTGTTTTCATACCAGTATAAATTTTGTGAATCTCATTAAGAGTACCCATTAAATTTACTCAGACCTGCTGTTGGGGGGCGGGAAGGCTTGCCCGAGAACCTCTGTGCACAGAAAGCCTGTTCAGCATCTCGATTTTTAAACTTATTCTATTCAGACTATTGTCAAGACAATTATTATACTTTATCTTCACAAAATACCTAAGAAGTAATGTAGACAAACTGAGGCATGAAAAATTTGTCACTTACCTAATCTGGTACAGCTAGTTAGTGAATGGGAGAGTTATTAAGCTTTGGAACCAAAGGCTCTTAGACCAACAGGCATATAGACCTACCATCTGTATCAGCTAGTTAAGGCTAAATTATATTGAGGTAACAAATTGACCCCAAGTTTTGGTGGCCTACACAGCAGAAGTTTATTTCTCACCCAGGGTTCTTTCTGTTCCATCCTCTGAGGCCAGCTCCGTGCTACACTGACTGCAGGACCAGCCTGAGGGAGCGTGGTCTGTCTGAACATTACCAGCCTCGTGGCAGAGGACAAAGAGACATGCTGAACCTTGAGCTGACTTTTCAAGCTCTTAGGTCACTTCCATATGAATTTCTTTGGCCAAAGTATGGTCACTCCTTAATTTAACAGGATGGGGTGGATAATCCTTCTGTAAAGAGTAGCTCTGCGAGTCATTTGTCCAAGCTTGATGGCCATGGGATGGGGAAGCAGATCCTCCTCTAGAGAGAGGCAGTCAAGATTTTGAATGATAATTGTTGACCACAGTATTCTAGTCATGGAATTTACTATGAAGGCAAGCGTCTTTATTATCTTTTAAAAATTCTCTCTGTCCGTAATGATTTTTCTCACTCTGTATTTGTCCTTTTCTGATTCCAGTTGGACACAGTAGAATGGTGTGTGTGTGTGTGTGTGTGTGTGTGTGTGTGTGAGAGAGAGAGAGAGAGAGAGAGAGAGAGAGAGAG